TTTTTTTAAGCATTCCCATTTCTAAAGCCAGCTGCACTAACAGTGGCAGTTAAACAGCATTAATTGTTAAAGGAGACCCAATGACAGTGCTTACAAATATACAGTTATTACAGGAAAAGGTTCCAATATAGCAACAGCGCTAAAGTAAGGATGTGTATCACAGCCAGTAGCTTTCTCACACCGAGAGGTCCAGAGAAACCAGGTGCAGGCTCCTGTTGTCCTCCCTAGGTAAGGGCTAGACAGGATGCATTTTCTCTCACAGGAACCACCCATGAATGCACAGAACACCTCAACCAAAGACCCCAAAATGGAATCTCAGTTAGGGGGTTTTGGTTTTGGTCACATAGGCATATTCCTACTATCTCATAGCAAAGCCCTCCAGAGAGCTCATGGAACCAAGTACAAGCACCGATCCGATTGTTATCAGTACTGACTAGGTGATACACACTGCTCTGAAACTCCTTACAGCACTGTTCATCAGTGTGTATCAGGCCTTGACCAGGATCAGGGTGTCATGCAGAAGCAGCAAAACAGCTCAGGCTAATTCCAGGCCTGATGGAATTATCCCTCACAGCATAATAGTACACAAACATTTGAGGTCCGCTTTTCTGTGTTCTACCTTTAGTTTTCCCAAAGTTAAATATTCTTGTTTTTCTTAACTATTTCTTATATGTTATATTTTCCCTCATTTTTGTGACCCTCCTCAATGTGCTGTCTAGTTTTTTAGTGTCCTTCAAATACAGTGTCCAATGCTCTAACCACAGCCAGACCTGCAAAGATAACTTACTACTAATACAGATGTGATAAGCATATGTCTGTGTCTTTCTTCAAATCATTGATTTTTTTTTTTGGCAGCTGGCCGGTGTGGGGATCTGAACCCTTGACTTTGGTGTTCTTAGCACCACAGTCTTCCAAGTGAGTTAATTGGCCAGCTCCTCAAATCAGTGATTTTTAAAGTAAGGGAGCTAAGAACAGATCTGTTGGACATTGTTAAGGGCTCCCTCTGGGTTGACATCAGTTCAGTGATCAGATGTCTTTGGATAAGGTATTAAATCAGTTATGAATTCACTTAGTAGTAGTCTGATCCATACTTCCTCACTTGTCCATGCTGTTGTTATGACAGACTAAAATTTAGTATTAAGTTTATGGCATTCCCTTTATCTACCAACCCAGTATCAGGGATATGGAGTTTGGTCTTATTTTTCTTAATGAATATCTTTAGCTGCAAGTAATTATATTCCTTAAGCATTTCCAATTCTGCTCTAAAATGTTTCTGTAAGATTTTTGGATATCTGGGCAAAATAGTTTCCTTAAGAATAATTATATAGGGGAAAAAAAAAAAAAAACGATTACACTATATTTGCATTGTTTAGCCCAGACCAAAGTTTCCCTTCTTTTGGAGGGGAAGCCAAATATAATTGGTGCTGGGCCGGCCCGTGGCTCACTCGGGAGAGTGTGGTGCTGATAACACCAAGGCCCCGGGTTCGGATCCCATATAGGGATGGCCGGTTGCTCACTGGCTGAGCGTGGTGCTGACAACACCAAGTCAAGGGTTAAGATCCCCTTACCGGTCATCTTTTACAAACAAACAAAAAAAAACAAATATAATTGGTGCTAATGTGATGCTGATCTGTTTGATTTTGTCACACTGTGATGTGATTTAAAATAAGGGACATTGTCATTAGAGTTAAGTACTTATTATAGACAGAGAGTTAAATATATGGGCAGAAGGAAAAGGAGGGAAGTGAGGGGAGATTTTGTCCAAGTCAGGTCTCTCCTGTGGCTGAGCATATACCTTCCCTCCCGGACATCTCTACCAGTTTCCTTTAGTCATCTAAACTTGTGCTGTACCCTCCACCAAACCTGACCCTCCTCCTGTATTCTTTTTCATGATCGATAATATTAACATCTATCCAGCTACTTTAGGTAGAAATATGGAAGTTATCCTAGACAATTGCTTCTCCCTAATCCTTACATCTAAGTCCACTCCTAGAGAGGCAGAATAGTGTAGTGGAAAACACATAGACCCAGATTTAAATGCAAAGCTGTGTCATTTTGGCCCTTGTTTCCACAGCCATAGTGAGGATAATAGTGCCCATCTCATAGACTTGTGAGAAGATGAAATGAAATACTGAAAATGCCTAACACAGTAGAGCACCTCGTATCCCTTTACTGTCTCCATGCTTCTGTTTTGCCTCAGTCTAACTCTACCCTAGCCAGAGTGATCTTTAAAACTCTGACCGTCTCTCTCTCCTACTTAAAGTTCTTTGGTGGCTCCCTGTTGTTTTTAGGTTTAAATTTCAAAATGCTTATGCAAGGCTTTTCATGATCTGGTCCCTGCTGCCTACCTTTCCAACTTTTTCTCTTCTTACTCCTTCATGTGCTTAACTATTAGCCATACAGAACTCAGATGGCCTATAGTCTCATGCTACCCTTCTGTGCAGAGTGCCCTCCCCTTCCTTTTCCAGTGGCGTAGTCTCCCTGCTCTTGTATCACACACATGCACGTGCGCACACACACAACACACACACAGACACACACACACACACACACACACTTATGAAATTGTTCCTGAAATGCTTTTTCTTTTCATTCTCCCTTGTCCATAAGCTGTATAGTATTCATTCGTAATGTGTCCTCTGATTATGAGATATATAGAGTGAAATGCAAAGAAAACACATTTTGCACTTTTAAAGAATCAAAGTACAAACATTTAAATAGCACTTAGTGAAGGAGTATGGGCTATGTTGTGACAAGACAACCCTAAGGACAAGTGTCAGTCATGAAGTTCTACCCCTTGATCTTTATAGGAAGGACGTTAAGCACATAGTAAGGATAGGTGGCATTTGAACTATGTGTCATGTATATCTGGAATCATCTATGAAGAAATTAACTCATAGGAGGCATATTCATAACAAAAAGAAATAAGGCAAGATCAGGCATTTGACCACCTAGGAAGCAAGAGGAACTTTTCTCTCCTGTTTAGTCTGCATCGCAGTGTAAAAGACATATGACTTCAAAAATTCTCTGTGCCATTTGTTAAGGGTTCAAAAGAAAATTAATAAAGACAGATCCCTCTGTTGAGTGATTGAGCTCACTAAAACTGCCTATCCCTCTCACCACCACCCCCCTTTTTTTAAGGCTTCATGCTAAAAATGTGGTACTAACTAGTTATCTGTCAACATTTGTACGTTTGTGTCTTTTAACTGATTTTAATTGCTCATTCATCTAGCAGACGTTTACTGAGTACCTACTATCTTCCAAGCACTGCTCTAGGTTCTGAGAATCCAGTGGTGAGCAAAATAGACTATCCAGGTATCACTGTCCTCAGTCTGCATTCTTGTTGAGGAGAGACAGTAAACAAACATGATATGGAGTCATCTGCAAATATACCCACTGCTGTCCCGCTTGCTTTTACTTGGGCTTTTCGATTATGTCATTACTTTATATTGAGAAATGTTACTAAAAACATTCCTATGAATGTTGCATGCATTTTAACAGCTCGAGAGAAATTCCTTTCTACTTATAGTATCATATAGTAATCACTGTGCAGCCAATTTGTTTTTATTCCACAGACACTGGAAATTATGTAGCTGACAGGGTTTCCCTTTTCACATTGGCTGCTAGAAAACTGAGAGATAAGTTTGTGGCCTACCCATTATAGCCATAGTAGTCGTAAAGGTCATTCTGGTGTGCATTATTCTTATTTTGAGCTCCATTTGCCCCACCCCTTTAAAGCTTTTCTTTAACTCTACTGTGAATTTATGCTGTCTTGTCATATTTTATATATCCATGTAAGCTTATCAAAATTCTTTTTGGAGCAAGGTAGAGTGGTGAATTATAAACATATATGCTCATAAAAATAGAAAATATAAGGTGTGGCTGTAACAGAATTAATAAAAGTACTTATACTGTAGGCCAGTGGTTCTCAATGGGGGACAGTTTTGTCCCTTAGGGGACATTTCGGCAGTGTCTGGTTGTCACAATTAGGAGGTACTACTGGCATGTTACATTGAACAGGAAAGCCCCCCACAACAAAGAATTATCTGGCCCCAAATGTCAATAGTGCTGACTTTGGGAAACCCTGCTATAAATTGGACCATTCAATCCATAATTTACTGCATTCGAGAGCTCTAGAAGCATCTTATATAAATGACAAATGTGTTTCTGTCTTAGTCCATTTGTGCTGCTACAAGAAATTATCTGAGACTGGGTAATTTATAAACAACAGAAATTTATTTCCTCACAGTTCTAGAGGCTGGGAAGTCCAAGATCAAGGTGCCAGTAGGGTCAGTGTCTGGTGAAGGCCCATTCCTCATAGATGGTGCCGTCTAGGTGTCTTCACATGGCAGAAGGGACAGAAAGGGCAAAAATGAGAGGATCGCTGGCAAAAGAGCAAGAGGGGCTGAACTTACCTACTCAAGCCCTTTTTCTCTAATCCCATCCATGAGGGCAGAGCCCTCATGATTTAATCACTTCCCGAAAGGCCCCCACCTCTTAATATCACCACAATGGAAATTAAGTTTTAACATGAATTTTGGAAGTGACACATTCCAACCATAGCAGTTCCCATGTTGTTTATTCAGTATATATTCTAAGTGGGAAGGTTGGGTACCCTTTCACTAAATCTATCATTAATCAATATTCCTGAAAGCAATATTTTTCCCTTCAGAAATCTATATAGGCCAGCCCGTGGCTCACTCGGTAGAGTGCGGTGCTGATAACACCAAGGCCACGGGTTCGGATACTATATAGGGATGGCCAGTCAGCTCACTGGCTGAGCATGGTGCTGACAACACCAAGCCAAGGGTTGAGATCCCCTTACCGGTCATCTTTTAAAAAAAAAAGAAATCTATATAATTATGCCAATGAGTCACAACTTCAGGTTGACAAAATTGTGGGGAAAGGTGCTTTTCACTTGAGCTCGAGACATTTGAATATTTGAGGAAGCAACACAGTTAGAATAAGACTGTCCTTTTCATCCTCCTTTCTCTTTGCAGGCTTTCATAGAGACCATGTTTGCCAGTAAAGCCCCTGTGGAGGAAGCCTTTCTTTATGCTAAGGTGAGTTTCAGATGATTGGAAAGTTCTTATTGGAGGCAAATGTAAAGTAATATTATTGATTCACAGATGGCTTACACTCGGTTTTCATAGTAGGGACCAGCATGTCATTCGAGAGGATTTGGTTCTCAAATGTCACTGGTAATTTATTAGGTGAGTCTAAAACATGCAGCATTACAATTAAAGGGAAAAAATTGCAAAGTAGAATAGATGAAAAAGGAAAGACTTAACAATGCACAATGAGAAGAATAATACTGTTTAAGTAAACATAAAGAAGAATTTCAGTGCTATAGATAGTGGCAGAAACTCACCAATCTCCAGCTCCATCCTACAGTGTAGTGAAATTAGTAGAATTTTCAACTTGTCAAGCATTCTTTTTCCAGAGCATTTAGGTTGGTAGCTATTTGAAAGGTTGAAATTAATAATTAAGAGCTATTAAAAATGTGAGCCATAGGGCCAGCCTGTGGCTCACTCGGGACAGTGTGGTGCTGATAACAAGGCCACGGGTTCGGATCCTGTATAAGGATGGCCGGTTGGTTCACTTGGGAGAGCATGGTGCTGACAACACCAAGTCAAGGGTTAAGATCCCCTTACCAGTCATCTTTTAAAAAATAAAAAAAAAATGTGAGCCATATTTTGGTGTTTAACTAAATAAGGATAAACAAACAGTAACCTTACGTAACTGTATCTCTGGACTCAGCCTTCATCATAGGTTTTCTGTGTTCTCTTTTATACTTAATTTGAAAATCATAGGAAATTTAAAGAACACTCAAAAGAAAAGAACGTTTAATAAAAGGATTAAATTACAGTATTGATGGGAATAAGAGTATATATTTAGTATAGACTATAGTATGTGGAAAAGAAATGGACTGAAATTACACCGTAAAAGGTTTGGTTAGATATGATGAATAGTTTTCCAGCAATGACTTAAGGTAAGTACTGATACAGAGATATGGGCTATTGAAGAGAGCCTGGGCTAGACAACCCTACAGAAATCCTTCTAGTTATACCTTGCTGTTGTCTTTCATAGTTTGAATTTGAGTGCCGGGCTCGTGGTGCAGATATCTTAGCCTACCCCCCTGTGGTTGCTGGTGGTAATCGGTCAAACACTTTGCACTATGTGAAGAATAATCAACTCATCAAGGTACGTAAATGCCCTTCAGTGCTGCTCCTACTAGGTTCAGACGCCTAGTAGTAAACTCACTAACCTCATGGTCCCCTTTTATAAAGTAGTTTTACAGACAGTATCATATTTGATCCTTGCATTAGTCCTGTTAGATAGGAGCAGTTATTTTTTTCCCATCCATTTTATTTTTTTCATCATACATGTTTATGGGGTACAATTTGTTGTTTTGATACATGCATATATTGTATAATGATCTAATTAGAACAGTTAGTGTATCTGTCACCTAAACATTTATCATTTCTTTGTGGTTATAACATTCAAGATCCTCTTTTCTGGCTATCTTGTGATATAAAATATAATATTATTAGCTATTGTCACCTTAGAGCACCAGAACTTATTCTTCCTATCTAACCATAACTTTGTAACTTTGTACTGGTAGGAGCAATTATTGACATGCCTGTTTAATAGATGAAGAAAATAAACTTTAAAAAGTTAAACAACTCATTAGTACAGAGCCAAATATTCTACTCCAAAGCATCTGCTCATTTCATTCTATAGCACACCTTCTCTAAGGACTTGGCAACAACAGTGGGCCAAGCATATTTTGAGGGCAAAAGTATTTTAAGAAATCTTTATTAGCAGTGTGGGAACATATCTTTTATCGTTTTCTCTCCATGTGACTATATAAGTGAAGAATTGTGTGTACTTTTATTAAGTCCATTTCTTATGTATTTTAATACGCAGTAAATTCAAAAACATATATATATATAGCAAACAAATTATGCAGCATAATTTTTTTTAAATGAATACCGGAGGCTGGCTGGTTATCTCAGTTGGTTAGAGCACAGTGTTATAACACCAAGGTCAAGGGTTCGGATCCCCACACTGGCCAGCCACCAAAATTAAAAGAATAAAAAAAAAAAGAATACCCATCACTCAACTTTAGAGCTAAGACATTAGCAATACATTGCACCTACTTATGTACCCTCCTTCTGTGCCATCCCACTGCCTCCCTCCCACAGGTAACTGGTATCCTAAATTTTTCTTTCCCTTGATTTTCAAAAAATAGTTGTATCATATATACATGATTCCCAAACAGAATGAATTAGCTCTGTTTATTTATGAAGTATATAAAAATTAGGTACTGCTATATATAGTTTGGGGGAGACTTTTTTTTAACTCATAAATATTTATGATAATATGAATTTTCTCCCAAATATTTGGGGTTTTTTGGTTTGTTCTGTTTTTTGGCAACTGGCCAGTCTAGGGACCCAAAGCTGAGACCTTGATGTTATCTCTCAAATATTTGTATTGTTTATACCCTCACCAGCAGTGTGTAATTCTGTTGGCCACATCTTCTCCATTCCCTGGTACTATCAGATTTCTTAATTTCTGCCATTCTAGTTGGTATAAAATAGTATCTCACTATGGTCTTAATTTTTATTACCTTAATTATCAATGAAATTGAGTATCTTTTCTTTAGCACTACCAGTTTCAGCTTACTAATACTTTGTTTAGGATGTTCTGATCTGAGTTCATGAGTGAGATTGGCCTATAATTTTTCTTTCTCATACTGTTTTTTTCTGGTTTTCATATCAAGGTCAAACTAAGCTCATAAAATGAATAGTTCTTTTTTAATATTATGGAATGATTTGAATCGTCGTTTCTTGAAAATTTGGTAGAACACACATATGGAACTATTTGGGCCTGGTATTTTCCTTTGTGGGCTTTTTAACTACTAATTCAGTATCTTTAATATATTGAGGCTTTTTATCTCTCTTTCTTCCTTTCTTTCTGCATTTTTTATTGTAAAATATAACTTTCCGGGCCATCCCGGTGGTGCACTCGGTAGAGTGCGGCGCTTGGGAGCGCGGCGGTGCTCCTGCCAAGGGTTCGGATCCCATATAGAGACCAGTCCGCTCACTGGTTGAGCGCAGTGCGGGCGCGACACTGAGGGTTGCAATCCCGTTGCCGGTTGCGGTACGGGCGCGACACCGAGGGTTTCGATCCCGTTACCAGTCACGAAAAAAGACAAAAAAAGGAAAAATATATATATATATATATATATAACTTTCCTACTAGGAAAGTACTTAAAACAAAAAGGAACAGTTTAATACGTAATTATAAAGTGAACACTCTTATAACCATTACCCAGATCAAGAAATAGAACAGATGTAGGCAAACTACCACCCTCGGGTCAAATCCAGCCTGCCACCTGTTTATGTAAATAAAGTTTTATTGGAACACAGGCAATCCCACTTTCCAATTACAGTGGCAGAGTTAAGTAGTTGCATCAGTGATGATATTGCCCACAAAGGAAAAAATATTTACTGTCTTGCCCTTTTTGGAAAAAGTTTGCCAATCCCTGAAATATGACATTACTATCCCTCCACCCCCAGGAAGTATTTCCTACCATGTATTCCTTCCCAGTGATAATCCTTTCTCTGACAGTATAACCACTGTGGCTATCCACTAACTTTGATGGTAATCATGTCTTTGTTTTTCTTTTTACTTTGCAACTAATAGATAATATAGTTTATCATAGGTAGTTTCGTTTTGCTTACTTTTGAACTTTATATATTTGAAATGTATGCAAATATGAAGGCTCTAAACCTTTGGCAGAAATGCAGTCAGAGAGAGCAAGCTACCCTGTGTTTTCTGCCTCTAAGCTTACCACCCACAGCTACATCTAGCTCTCAGAAGTAGATCAAAGCAGAACCCTTCTGACAGAGTTTATTTTTTGTTTTGTTAGTTAGTTAGTTTGGTGTGGCACAAAGGGTTTATTCCGACCCCTCCAGTCCCACCACAATCCCACATCCATAGCTGGTGGGCATGTATGTGATAACCCCACCTCCTGAGTTCCAGGTCCACCTCCCACTGGTAAGTGGGCTCATTCAGTGCTTAGGGAGACCCTCTTATGCATGGTGTTGGTGTAGGGGTGCCAGTGAGACTCCAGGTTTGCCTGACAGTGTGTAGCTAGATTTATCTGTATGCTCACCATTCCTTCTGACATGTTAGATGGCTTTTCTGGGATTACTTTTTCATCTACCTTTAGATGAAGGTTGGCCAGTGTGGGGAACTGAACCCATGACCTTGGGGTTAGAAGGCTGCTCTCTAGCCAGCTAAGCTTACCGGCCAGGTCTCATTCTCATTCTTGAAAGATGGCTATGCTGAGACAACCATCCTAGGTTGACAGTTATTTTCAGTCATCAACTTGATTATTCCTGTCTTCTGACATTCAGTGTTGCTGATTAAAAAAAAAAAAACACCACTAATTATTAATTGTTCCTTATAGGAAATCTCTTTTTGCTTTGGCTGCTTTTAAGATCTCTTTTTCTTTGGTGTTTCTCAATTTTATTATATGTCTAAGTACAAATTCATTTTTATGTAAATTTATGTAAATAAATTTATTGTTTCTACTTCCTGAATCTGTGGATTCATGTTTTTCATCAGTTCCATACAATTCTCAGATATCATCTCTTCAGATATTACCTTTCCTATATTCTCTCTATTTACTCCTTCTAGGACTTCAACTAGATATGTTAGACTTTTTTGTTCTGTTCTTCATAAGCTAAGTTCTGTTTTGTATTTACCCTTGCCTTTCCACTCTCTGTCATATTCTAGGTGATTTTGGTAGGCCTCTCTTCTATGAAACTAATTTTCTCTTCAGCTGTCTGTCTAATCTGCTACCTTTTAAAAAAAAAGAATCGGTAAGGGGATCTTAACCCTTAACTTGGTGTTGTCAGCACCATGCTCCCCCAAGCGAGCTAACCGGCCACCCCTATATAGGGATCCAAACCCGTGGCCTTGGTGTTATCAGCACCGCACTCTCCCAAGTGAGCCACGGGCCGGCCTAATCTGCTACTTATTATCACTAATTTCAGTTCTGGGTTGTCTTTTTTGAAGAGAGAAATGATCTTTCAGACATCTATTACATTATATAATGTTAGCATTTCATAAAATATATTGTTATCCAGGATCTACTTGTTTTCTAACAGGAAATTTATTCCATCTTAATGCCAGAAATAAAAACCAAATTCATTCTTTGAAGTTGCCATTACTATATATGTATACACACACACACATACACACACACACGTGTGTGTGTATATATGTACACACAGTACTTATTTACCCATTATTCTACTGTGTGTCAGATTTTGTGCTTACTTAGATATGAAAAAAATATGCCCTGTCTTCAAGGGCATGAATAGATCATTTCAATATAAATGACAAGGAGTAAGTTAAAGATTTAGCCAAAGTTTTCTTCTTTCCCCACATGTATTATGACAGATGGCAGAAGGGAGAGTGACATTCCAAAGTTAAATTGTTATGGGTAATCACATTTGAGTCAGGCCCTGGATACTAATTAATATAGGATTTTTTAAAAATTAATATATAATGATGATGGTAATATTTATGATGTGCTAATGTTTAACACTTAGTAATTCAAACTCAAGCAGTCTGGTTCCAGAGCCTATTACTTAACCATATACAGTGCCACCCCTTTCTTGAGCGAATTCATTTGAAAAATGTAGATGATGTGTTTCTTGTGAGGAAGAACCAGAGATTACTCTTTTTTAAATTTAAGCTTTTTTTAGTAAAATGAAAGACATAGATTAGATTAGAAGAAAGAACTTACGATCATGTGGTCACCTAGTGTAACCTATCTTACTTTTGTTCCAGGATGGGGAAATGGTGCTTCTGGATGGAGGTTGTGAGTCTTCCTGCTATGTGAGTGACATCACCCGTACCTGGCCCGTCAATGGCAGGTAAGGGTTTCTACAGAGTAACATATCCCACTGCTTCTTTAGGAGTATGAGTTGGAATATAGATATATTTGGAATAAATGAGTAAAGAAATATACAGATCCCTTCTGGGTCAGTTTAGCTGCTGTTTCAAAGGTCCTGATTATTTTTCTAAGGTGGTCTTGTTAATCATATCAGGCACCTAGAAACACCTAGTTAACTAACACACAGACGTTTATATTTATGAAATAAATTTGGAGGTGGTTTTTTTTTTTTTTGTCCTGATTACAAAAGTAATATTTAGATTATGGTAGTATAGCTTGCTTGGATTAATCCTCCACAGATAATAATTATAAAATCTGGACAAAATATTGAAAACAACTATTTAAAGGCACAAGAAAGCTTCCGAAAACAGGCAGAAACTATACAAGTCTGTTCTTTTTTTTTTTTTTTTTTTTTTTTTTTTTTTTTAAAAGATGACCGGTAAGGGGATCTTAACCCTTGACTTGGTGTTGTCAGCACCACGCTCACCCAGTGAGCGAACCGGCAATCCCTATGTGGGATCCGAACCCGGGGCCTTGGTGTTATCAGCACCGCACTCTCCCGAGTGAGCCACGGCCGGCCCACAAGTCTGTTCTTGACAGAACTATTGTGGGTAAATTTAGTGGTTAGGTCTTTTTGCCTGGGGACATTTCCCCCAATCCACAAAGCTTGAGCGGCAGAAAGCCACAGTCTTATTGGTTTAAAGTGTCAGAGGGTAAATTTAAGTGCCGGCAGAACAGCCAGAAAAAAATGGGAGAAAATCCTTGAAGAGAGGGAGCTACAGAGAGTGTGAGCCCCAAAATCTGCATAAAAAATATTTGGAAATCCTTGACTGATCACTAAACTATATGTTAGACTTTTTCAAAAGTAAAATGGTCTCAGGCCGGCCCGTGGCTCACTCGGTAGAGTGCGGTGCTGATAACACCAAGGCCACGGGTTCGGATCCTATATAGGGATGGCCGGTTTGCTCACTGGCTGAGCATGGTGCTGACAACACCAAGCCAAGGGTTGAGATCCCCTTACCGGTCATCTTTATAAAAAAAAAAAAAAAAAAAAAAAAGTAAAATGGTCTCTCGAAAGACACTGCTAAGAAAATGAATAGGCAGGCCAAAGACAGATGAATTTTTCACTGATATATATCTCACAAAGAAAGACAAACAAGACGCTTACTCATTGGGGAAATGCAAATTAAACCCCAATGAGCTACCACTGCACATCCACTAGAACAGCTAAAATTAAAAAGACTAGGGCCGGCCCGTGGCTCACTCAGGAGAGTGCGGTGCTGATAACACCAAGGCCCCAGGTTCGGATCCCATATAGGGATGGCTGGTTTGCTCACTGGCTGAGCGTGGTGCTGACAACACCAAGCCAAGGGTTAAGATCCCCTTACCGGTCATCTTTTTAAAAAAAACAAAATTAAAAAGACTAACTATACCAACTGCTGACAACAATGAAGTGCACCTGAAACTCTCCTACACTGCTCAAAGTGATGTAAAATGTTACAACCACTGTGGACAAAATTTGGCAGTTTCTTACGAAGTTAAATAAACACTGGCCCTTTGACCTAGTGATTCTTCTTGTAGGTATTTATCTAAAAATGGAAACATATGTCTACAAAAAGAGTTGTACAAGAATGTTCTTAACAGCTTTATACACAATAGCCAAAAACTTTAATGTCCATCAATAGGAAAATGAATATGCAAATTGTGGTCTGTTCATACAATGGAATACCACTCAGTGAAAAAGAACAGACTACTGATTGAAGCAGCACACTGAAGGGAGCTAGACACAAAAGAGTACATATTGTTTGATTCCATTTATATGATGTTCTAGATCATGCAAAACTAAGGTGAAATGAGGAAACTTTCTAGGAAGATGGAAATGTTCTACATATAATGATCGGGATATGGATCTGTATCAGTCAGGATTCTTCAGAGAAACAGAACCGAGAGGATGTGTGCGTGTGTGTATGTGTATAAGTAGATTGATTAATTGATTTTAAGGAGCTGGTTGTGGAGGCTGGCGTGTCTGAATTTTGTAGGACAGGTCAGCAGGCTGTAAACTTGAGCAAGAGTTGATGTTGCAGTGTTGAGCCCAAAATCTACAGGGCTGTCTGGAAACTCAGGTGGGATTTATATTACACTCATAGATAAAATTCCTTCTCCAGTATACCAAGCCATTTCTGGCATTTGAGTTCATTTATTGCGGGCTATATTTTTGTCCATGTTTCAACCAGCCAGCCAACCAAACTGTTAGAGCTTTTCTGACTCCTTGAGCTACAACACTGAATCCAAAATCTCTGTTTAATGGACCCATATCAATAAATTCAGCCTGATCCAACTTTATGTTCCTTCTGCTATCATCCCAAACTGTAAGTATACATTCCCACACATATTCTCAGATTTTTGTCTGTATAAATTGGAAAAATCATGAAGTTCTTTTTGGAATGCAGTGTCCTTCCTCATGGGTCACACTTTGTAACTAATCTTTTGGAGCCTGCTGGGACTAGAGTCTAGTTATAGGTCTAGAAGCAACCAAGCAATCAAGGCAACCAACTCAGGGGAGATACCTATAGGTTCTCAGGCAAAACAGGGTTAACTTTCTCAGATGGAGTCAGAAGAGCTACTTCTACTGGCAAAGAAGATTCAGAATTTAGGAGTTTACTCATTTGGTTACAGTGTGGTGCTGATAACACCAAGGTCAAAGGTTCGGATCCCCCTACCAGCCAGCTGCAAAAAAAAGAGAGAGAATTTGGGAGTTTAGTGTCCCCAACTTTATCAAGATTGGTACATCCATTTGTCCAAATTGTATAGCTTGTGTACCAAAGCATCCACTTAAGATCTTTCATTTGTACCATTCCTAACGAAGAAATTTGGTACCCCACCCCAAAATTGTACAGCTCAGATTTGTGCATTTCAGTATATGTAAATTTCACATTTTAAAAAAAATATTAAAAAATTATTTAGTAATACTGTAGTGGAGTAGAGTATGGGTGCATTTATAGATGATACAGTCATAACAACGTTGATGATGGTTGAACCTAGGAGATGGGTACATAGGTGTTCATTATACTATTATATTGTTATATTTAACCATTCTTCTATTAGGAGACATTTAGAGTTTGTCTAATATTTTGCAATTATAAAAAATATTCCAGTGAACATTTGTGTACGTTCGACTTCTTTGAATTTCAAATATTTTCTGTGGATGGATTCGTATAGAAGAATTACAAGCTCACATTATAAGAACATCTTTAAAGCATTTGATTTAGTTGGCTGTACTAATTTACATTCCCTTCAACAATGTATGACAATACATATCATTTATCACCCTAGCTGACTTTTTTTTCCATTTTTCCCATGATTGCTAAAGAAATTGTTATTCTAAAGATACCCGTATACTAGGAAGTTACTTGCAGTCCAGGTATTGACTAGTTTATCTAATGACATCTACTTCACTTAACAGAAGTGGATCCCTAGGATTTTCTTCCCTTTTTTTTTAATGGTAGTCTGTATATAAGGAATTAGAAAGAATCAAGGGTGAGCCTGGTGTGGACCTCTGACTGCATTCATGGCTGGGTACATCTTCTAGCCTCCTTCATGTATATCTGTTGACCATATGAAGGACTGTGTCGCTGTTCCATCTTGAAGGATTATTGCTCTTCCCATTGAGCTTCTAGGGCATGATTAAGGTCCTGTCAGTAATGATATATCAGTACTTAGTAAATATCAACAATGCTGCATCATCATCCGAAATTTTTCTAATCAAACTTAGAAGCAAACTTCTTACAATATCAGATTATTCTAAATTCAAGTTCTTTGGTTTTCTGTTCCCAGGTTCACCGCACCTCAGGCAGAACTCTATGAAGCTGTTCTAGAGATCCAGAGAGATTGTCTGACCCTCTGCTCCCCTGGGACAAGCTTAGAGAACATCTATAGCATGATGCTGACACTGATAGGACAGAAGCTTAAAGAGTTGGGGATCATGAAGAACATTAAAGAAAACAGTGCCTTCAAGGTACTTCACTTTCTTGACCCCAGTTCTCAAGAACACTTAACATACTGCTCAGTTTTTACCCTATATAAAGCAAATTAGGTTTAGCAATGGTCTTTGTGATTCTTCAACTGTAAGAGCGACTTAGCTTTAACATAGATTGAAACAAAGGAAGTCAGTACTTATTTCTCCCAGAAGATGGCAGCACATTCTGATTCTTCGCGTACTGCATAACTAGCTCAATATTAAGAAAACGTAAAATGAAGTCTGGTGCAGGACACAAAAAAGGAGGAGAGGCTAACTCTTCATCTTTTTCTGGTGATTCTGGAACTCAAAGGGGAAGATATTTGTTATTTCAGTGACATTGTTGAGACTTTAACCATATGCCCACACGTCTTTAATGAATTCTGTCTGTATCCAAAATGTAATAGTATTCAGTAAAAATGTAAGATCTCAGTTTCAAAATTAATATGCTAAGTGGTCAAGCCAGACAGACCATTAGGCATCTCTCACCTCCAGTTTAGGCAGCCAGAACTTCTATTATCAATAGAAAAGAAGCTATGAATTCACTGTTACTCAGGCCAACAAATCTTTAATTAACTGATAGAAATATCCACACTGGCAAATGCCCAATAATGCCCTCTCCACAAGTTGCTGTGCAATACTTAGGGTCTCCAGAGTAGGCTTCCTGAGAAGGATGTGTGAACATGGAAGAAGAGAGCTATTCTAACATCTGCCACAGTCATCCTCCCTTCTCCAGGAAAAGAGATTTTCATTTGCCACAGTCATTCCTGGAATTACCCACATCAGAATATATGTAACATATTAAATAGTGGGAATGGAAATGCAGATTATTTAGAATGCCATTAGCAGAATTGCAGACAAGAGGTAGCAGTTTATCAGGTCTCTTAATCCTTAGCCAAGGATAGGTTAAACATGAGTAGTAGAACCATGGGAGAGGTATTAACACATATCTCAGTGATTTATACATGCCCAACTTTCCCCTGAAGGAGTCATTGCTCTAGTAATACCGCGGTAATTATCTTTTCCAGGCCGCTCGAAAATACTGCCCTCATCATGTTGGCCGTTTATCAGGTCTCTTAATCCTTAGCCAAGGATAGGTTAAACATGAGTAGTAGAACCGTGGGAGAGGTATTAACACATATCTCAGTGATCTATACATGCCCAACTTTCCCCTTAAGGAGTCATTGCTCTGGTAATACCGCGGTAATTATCTTTTCCAGGCCGCTCGAAAATACTGCCCTCATCATGTTGGCCATTACCTTGGGATGGATGTGCATGACACTCCAGACATGCCCCGTTCCCTCCCTCTACAGCCCGGTATGGTAATCACCATTGAGCCAGGTAAGGAGAAGTGTTAGCAGCCTCTGACCCCTTGAGACACATAGTAATAGCACACTTATTATTTTTATTTTATTATTGTTTACTTTTACCTGAATCAACATAATTAAATTAGAAGAGACAGGAATAGGGCCGGCCCGGTGGTGCACTCGGTAGAGTACAGCGCTTGGGAGCGCAGCGGCGCTCCTGCCGAGGGTTCGGATCCCATATAGAGACCGGTCCGCTCTGGTGCGGGCGCGACAACGAGGGTTGCGATCCCGTTGCCAGTCGCGGTATGGGCGCAACACCGAGGGTTGCGATCCCGTTACTGGTCACGAAAAAAAAAAAAGACAAAAAGGAAAAAAAAAATGTAACAATTTCTGGCCCGGCCCAGTGGCTCACTCGGGAGAGTGCGGTGCTGATAACACCAAGGCCCCGGGTTCGGATCCCATATAGGGATGGCCGGTTCGCTCACTGGCTGAGCGTGGTGCTGACAACACCAAGTCAAGGGTTAAGATCCCCTTACCGGTCATCTTTAAAGAAAAAAAAAAGAAGAGACAGGAATAAAATCTCTCCAATATAAAAGGTAACTTTTAGATTTATCTTTAGCTTTCTTATTTAATATCAAGCAATTTGCTTAATTTGACTCCTCCAATAAACAATAGATGGAGAATACTTTCTATAAGCAGATAGTAAGAAATGAATCTTTTTTTTAATCTTGCCTTTGCCAGGGCCATTTTGTACTAGTTTCACATTTAGTGGTGGTGGGCTACTCAGGTTTCCAGAGCCCCCAGTGTTGCATGCAGAGAGACACGCAGACTCCATGTTCTCAGTTGCAACACCTCTGCAAGCTGTGTTGAACTTCTCAGCATGACCCCACTTCTCGGTATCCAACTCCTCTCATAAGCTTTGGAGAAAGCTCACAATCAAATAGGTTACCTAACTTGAATGATACTGGGTGTTAGGCAGAATTCAGTGCTGGAGTATGAATATTGATGTTACAAAAGTTGACTTTTAAACACTGATGCTGTTTTTGTCATAAAAATGTCTGAGTTTTAGATTTCACATGTTTTAATCTCTAAGTTATGGCTGGGAAATGTCTTTTATACCACCCTTTGAACCCAGTCATATGTTGTGGTCTGTGGCCATAGATACCATTTAGTTCAATCTAATTGGTGCATGAGTGCACATAGTACTTCCTTAGACTTTGCGTTTTCCTTTGCTGACCTTTTTCTTTTTATCGGAGCAGTATCTGTGAATATATTGGAGGAAGTTTGCAATTTCTTTAATATCCTGTTGTCTGTCTAACTTTATGATTAGAAAGGGTATCTGGGGCTTCTAGATTTTTCCAAATGTAAATTAAAGGCTATTTCTCTCTTTTATATCATGTACATTGGTTATTTTTATAGCATATTTGAGAGAGAAAATAACTTTATAGTGACTATTTCAGCCCCTGCTTGTTAAAGCTAATAATCTCTAAATAAGTATTTATTTTAATACATTTTAAATACATTTTATCTTTATTTTTGCAAAGTGCCCTTTTTCCAGGGGACTGTTAGGCAGAGAAAGAATACACTTACATAATCTGCTGGCTCCCAGCTTATATTGACATACTCCTAAGTAACTTTAGTGGCTTGCTTGAGCCACTAGAATGTGAGAGAATCATGATCAACATTATCATAGTTGTATGGAGCCTGTAGACTAATATATAAAATAACTGTAATATTAATTCTAGTAATGATAGCCAACACATACTGATCATTATGTACCTGGCACTTTTACATGTATTACCTCGATCCTCACAACCCTACTGGGTAGGTGCTGTTAAGATCCAGTATTATAGAAGGAATTGTAACACAGAGAGGTTAACTTACTTGCCCCAAATCACCCAGTTACTGTCATTGATGAACAACACATTCTTCTTTCTCTTTCTCAGGCATTTATATTCCAGAGGATGACAGAGATGCCCCAGAGAAGTTTCGGGGCCTTGGTGTACGAATCGAAGATGATGTAGTGGTGACTCAGGACTCACCTCTCATCCTGTCTGCAGATTGTCCCAAAGAGATGAGTGACATCGAACAGATATGCAGCAGGGCCTCTTGACTGTCACTTCAGCCAACATGCGTCTCAGGTGCAAGATTGCACCCCTGCACATGTGCTTTCTGAGTGTCTCTGCGTGTACATTTATACCTTCATTCCATTTGGGAATGCAGCAGCTGTATAATTGTGTGTTTTTGGTTTTTTGTTTTAAGTAGATAGAAATCTGGAAAAATGCATTTTTGAACAGTATGTTACTGCAGCCTTAGTAACATTAATTCTGTAGAATTAATGACCTGAGCAGATTTAATTTTTAAACATAAGGAAAGGTCTTGGTTACATATGTGTATGCATTCCAATTAATACCTTTAAACTTATAGAAAATCCTCTTCTTTTTCTCTTCACTACCTTCTCTTTCTGTACTTTTGCTGAGATCCACCTAATATCATCAGATGTTTGTGTGATGCCTATATTTTGAGGTAATAACCAAGGTCTCTTCCTATGCTAAAAGCCACCCGTCAGTGATTGTGAGTGGCCAATACATACTTCCATAACTCCTCCCTACCTGTTCAGATCCTGTGTGTCTACTGGAGCTACATGAGCCCTCAGGAGCACTCGTGTCCTGAAGTTTTACCATTCGACCATAGTCCAGATTCCAGCAACACTCATTATTGAACAAAACAGTTTTGAGTCTTTCTTGCTGTTTGGTTGCCTGGGACCTGGAAAGTGTTTAGATTCTTAATAAGGAAATAGAAGAGAAAGAAAAATACATATGTGTCTACTACAAATTAAGACCTCCATGGGCCGGCCCGTGGCTCACTCGGTAGAGTGCGGTGCTAATAACACCAAGGCCCCGGGTTCGGATCCCACATAGGGATGG